ACATGAAGTAACACAAATCACAAATTAAAAGCATGGTTACCTTGTGGCTTTTTCAATAAATTATTCCTTAAAATTTCTCTCTCACCACAATCTTCACCAGTAATACAATCTACAAATAACATATTATTTATAAATATTAGTTTCAATTTTTGAAACTAATAAAATAATTCTAATAATAGAATTAAAAATATAACATAATTCCTAATCTCAATCTTAATACAAATCTATAGTTAATACTATTAAGTATAATTTTTAACTCCTCTTTTAATTATCAATAAACATTAATAATCTAAAAATCAACTTCTAAACTAATTTTTATTATCAAAATTTTTCTTTTTATTTCATAAATTCGTACCTAAAATACCCAAAAATTAAAAATTAAATCTCTAGCTTAGAATCATAATCCTATAGCCATAATAATTCATTTCTCATCCCAAATAATCATCTAAACCTCAATAAATCAACATATATTTTCAGATCTAGTCTAGAATTTGATCCATAAGCCATAAATTCAAAGATCATTAACAAATTTATACTCTATAACATTTATTATACTACTGACAACCTCAAAAAACCATATTTATTCAACATAAATTCATCCCTCTTCCAGATCTTAAATTTTCTACCACTACAAACTCAGAAACTAAAGAAGAAGGATGACTAAGAAAAATTTTTAGAACACTTATTTAGTCTTAAAAAGCTTAAAATCACACCCTAAATATCCTATTAAAAACTCTTACCTTAAAAATTTAGATATTTCGCACCGGTGACTCGCGTTCTCTCCGCCTCAGCTCGCGCGCAGGAATGAATGAGGAAATGAAGGAAGGTGAGTTTTTATAAAAATTCAGTGGGTCCCACACATTTTTTTTATTATTTCTTCTTCTCTCTCTCCCCTTTTTTTATTATTATTTTATATTTACTATTCATGCGGCGCCGAAAGCAAATTCGTTTTCTCTTCTTTTTCCTTTTTTTTTTGGCATACCTTTTCCCCTTTTTTTATTATAATAATAATTTAATAATTTTTTTTAATTAATTTTTTTTAATAAATTTTTTTTTAAAAAATTTCTATTAACCTAAATTAACTATTAAAATTTAAATTGGGATGTTACATAATATGTATACAAAAAGTTTGAAAAACACTCACACGTTCACATCTATCTTTCTCCTAAAAAATGGGAAACCTTCATTCCACAGTACAATTGGCTCTCGACTCTTGCTCTCTTATTCTTATCCACCATCATCGCTCTCTATCATCTAATCATCTCTACTAATCGCCATCCCTCATCTTTTGTCTATCAAGTCTTCGTGACTGTGCTCAATGCTTATTACTCCTTTACTTCTTATTTACCTCATCTTGACACATCAACACTACTTTATTCAGATCTCACACCCAGTGTAGGTACCTCCCTGTTTCTTTAGACTTTATTTAAGACTCTTAGGTCTCCTTCTGTAACCATTCTTGCTAAAGCTAATTTCTGAGTCTTCTTATAACATCTTGGGAAACTTAACTTAAGGTTAATTAGGTAATTAAGGACAAATTAAATAATTAAAAGTTAACTTGAATTAAAAAGTAATGAATGGATGGCTAATGAGTTTATCAAATCCTAATTGGCGCTTAAAATTTAACTATGATTGGGTCTTAAAATTGGACCTAGATGGTATTGGGCTATATTTCAGTCTAATTAGATAGACCATGTTTGAAACCTTTATTTTTGATTTTTGCCTGCAGCTAATAATCAATTTTTAAGCCTTACAAAGAGTTGAGTGGGAATCCGAAAGTGAATGAGGAAAGCTCTGTCGAGGTTTGTTGTGGGCATTCAATTGAGTTTATTTGGAGTTTCAAATCACTTGGGTAAGTATCTACAATCTCTTCTCTTCCTCTCTTATGAATTTTCATAATTGTTTTAGGTAGTTCTTTAGGAATCCGAAGATAAGCTTTAATTTTACCTAGAATTTTGACTTTGATGGGACTAATGGGTGTTTATTTAAATGTCTAACCTTTAAGTTATAATGCTATTAATGTTTTAAGATTTTAAAGTAGGGTTTAGAGTAAACTGAGTTTAGGTTTTATATATAATTAATTAAGGATAATTGATCATTGATGACTTTTAATGTGTTTAATTGCAGATTGACCATTGTTGGTGTTATTGAGCCTAATGAAGGCTTCATTTAATATTTACGGGTACTCTTGGTTAGTAAACCAAGAGTTGAGATAACAAAAAATTTTAAATTCTTATATATCATAATATCTGCAATTGTAATTTATACTAAGTTATCATTGGATTGAAATGGGTAAATAGACTTGTTGGTTGATATGTTGACTTTGAGTAATTGTTACAGAATAAACATGCCTAATAGCGACAAAGATGTTTTATGACTATGTGATAACATGCAAGTTTTATTGATTATGAATATGTTGAGTGAACTTGCCTAACCATGATGAATGAGAACTCACCCTAAAATAATAGAAGATTATAATGGTAAATCCAAAGTGGTGTGGCCTCCGTTGAGTTTGCATACAATAATTAGCATATTTTATTACTATATGTATTTAATATTGCCAACAACCTGTGAGTGTAGTATGGGTCAGGCACTTATAACACCATGAAATTTAAGCAAGGGGAACCTATGGTCTAATATGAGTATAAGAGCTTTTGGTTGGGTAACCCCTCATAACTGAAGAGTAGGACTAATCTAGTCAAATGGACTAAATCCAAACGAGTTGTTAGCCCACGGGCTCAATTAGAAGATATAAGGAAGGATATAAGATAATAGTATTGATCATGTAGCGTACTGTCTTGTATTATAATGTGATTAATGTGTGGTTAACCTATGTGATATTAACTACCTATTTGTTTGCATATGCCATAATATCTTGGCTACTAAAATTGTTTAATCTTACTCTTTGTTGATATCATTATAGGAGACAATAATGCTAAGGAAAAGGTAGAGGCATCAACTTCAAAGAACTTGAGCTTGTTTTGGAAAGTGTCAAGTTGACCTATATGTAGTTGACATTATTTTGTCAACACTAGAGGTTTTTTATATTGAATTATGTTTATTTAAAATTCACTTACAATTATAGCCTTAAACTTTGAATTTAGGTATTTATGGATTGGTTTGGCCATAATAGGGCTCAAACCCCTAATTTGATGATCGTAGTATGCCAAGATGGTTTGAATAAGTATATTTTAATATAAGTTTTACATTATTTGGGTGATTATTTAGCTTGAATGCAAAGATTTGTATTTTCATCCCCTCCTTATGTACCTTATGGTAGTTAAGTACTTAATTCTTGTATTATGGGTTATTTGATGCTTGTGGTTGTTCAAACAAGTGTATTAGAATTTATTGAATGTGATTTAAGCCCTTGCACAGGCTAATAGCTCATAGTGTGAGATCTAAACACTTGGTTGCTGGTCTTAGAAGTGAAAATGTAACAGCCCTCCGCTTACCTCGCCTCCCCGAGGTCTTTTGCGATGCTAGACACTCTCTCCTCAGGCCCCACAACAGGGCGACCCCATCCCTTACGGTGAGCATCAGGAGACAAAGGCTTCCCCGCAGTAGTGTGCAGGTTCAGCCTCAACTTTGTTATGGTACCAGGTTCAGCCTGAACTTTGTTATGTAGGAGAGGTTGGAGGATCGAACCTAGGGAGGCTTTCCGCAAGGGAAATAATCCTGCACACTACTGCGGGGAAGCCTTTGTCTCCTGATGCTCACCGTAAGGGGTGGGGTCGCCCTATTGTGGGCCTGGGAGGAGAGTGTCCAGCGCCGCAAAAGACCTCGGGGAGGTGGGGTGAGCGGAGGGCTGTTACAGAAAATGTGAAATTATGGTCTCGGGTGTCCAAATTCTTTGTATGATATCATATTGATATGAAATCAAAATCAGTAGCTATATTATGAAATTGTTGATGTATGGGCACTTTAATTACCTCAATCAGAGGTCTGATTCAAAAGTCATGTGCTTTAAAAGTTTGTAGTTGGGAGTTGTCATGACAGATGTTGTCATAATAGCTTTGGCTGTGTTTTATAGACTTTTAGCCTTAGCTAAAGAATGCTTTGACTATAGCCTAAAGGGTGTTGGCCATGGCCGCGTAGACCTATTAAAAATAACTCTTTTTACCTTTATTTTGATTTGTTTTCAATTATAATTATTTTTCATATTTCTCAAATATTTTTTACTTTAATTTATAATGATTAAATCACCTTTTAAACTTGGTTTTGGGTTAAATAATTTATAAGATCCCATCTTTACAGAGTTTTTTTACTTAGCTTTTTGAGTTTCACATAACTAAGGTTGATCATTTTCTTTACACGATATCTTTAATTATTGATTAAATTGGTTAGAATTATCATGGTAACTCTACCTTAAAGTTAAGCATGTGTTGATTATATGTTTACATATTGGAGGCATTACACATCTCTTGCTCATTATCGCTTTCACTTTGTTTGCTGCTACTTCTTAGAGGTTGATCGGAAGTTGAGGTTCGTCCTTTGAGTTGTTTCTTCAATCTTCTCTTCTTGCCTTGTCTTCGTTCAATCTCCTACTCATTGCTTGATAGTTTCTCTCGTTTCACTCATTTCTTACTTTATCTCAATATAGTGTTTAGATTTGCAGTATAACAATGTGTGCCATGCAAATTACTTTTATGAGTTTTTAGGTGTATGACTTTTCGAAAGTAGGCAAATTCAAACCCATCTCTTACTCATGTCCAAGTCTTTTTCTCTCTTTGTTTTTTTTTATATGAAGAATAAGAAATTGTTAATTAAAGATTCAACAATAAATTGACAGTATTTTATTGATTTTTTATTGATTTTTTTCTTAAAAAAATTACGTAGCCTTTAAAATGGGTTAGACCAACCTGCCCACACCTACACGGGTCAGCCCCGCTTGTTTCACAACCGGCCAAAATGGGTCACTTACGGGTGTAGGGTGCTGGTAGTCTCTTAAACTACTAGCTTGTCTTGCCGTTGCCCAACCTTGGGCAGAAGTAGGTGGGGATTTTTTTTTTTTTTTTTTTTACCGTGACAAGGGATGGGAATGCTTTTGGACGATCAAGTAGAGCACAAATAAGAGTGAAAGCAGCTGAAGTGATCCATAATTTCTAATAAGCAATAGCCATGCCTACTGCCTCTCCCCTTATCTTAGGCGCCTTGTCCCCCGTTGCCGCGCCGTCCTCATTCCCTCCAACGCCCCGCCATTCAAAATGCAACGTCTCCCTGAAACCCAAAAAACTTTGCCTCTCACGCAGAGACGCTGCTTTGCTTTTATTCCTCTCTTTGTCTTCTCCTTCGCCTGCCTTCGCCCTTGGAATTTGTAAGGACCTCCGCTCTTCCTTCTCCGATGTATCTTATCTCCCTCACTTCTCACGTCCCTTGTTTCGAAACCCTAATTTCTCAAATGGTGCGCAGCTGGACCCAAGGATTGGTTGAAAGAGCAAAAGAAGAAGGCCTCTAGCTTCCTGTTGGCTCCTGTCGGTGCCTCCCGTGAAAGCCTTCGTTCTGCCTATCTCTTGCTCAGTACGTTTCTCCCCCTCCAATGCTCATGCGTATATTGTTTATTAGGTTTGATTGAGCTTCTCTTGGTCATTGTTATTGATAGTGGAAAGCGATGCTGATTACACGGACCAGGATTTTGAGAAATTTTATAATCTCTTTAGGTCTGCTGCTAGGGATTGCGTTCCGCAGGAGAGAAATTCTTTCGTCACTTTCCAGGCTAACACTGGAGTCGAGGTTTGTCGGTCCCCTACTTAAGCGATCAAAGATGAACTAATTGTCTTAGCTGTTTTGCTACCATGCTTCGAATGACTCCGCCTCTGCAAACATATATGCCTACAAACAAGTTTCTGAATGCTGTAGCGCTAAAGTAAATGTTGTAAAAATATCAATTAATTTTTAATCACATTTTATTTACTGCCCTGTTCACTCAGGAATACGGTGTCTTGGACGCTCATTATGGGTTTTCTTTCTGATTTTTTTTTATTTGAGATTCGTAGTTATCGGATCTTTGGGATATCGAATGACTAATAATACTAGATTCTATGCAAAATGTGTGCTATTTACGTAATCTTTAAGCTAGATTCTTTATTCCCCTCCACATTCCTTTTCCAATAAGCATCGAATCCCTAAGCAAAGATTGTTTTAGGCGGAACTCACTCTCAATTCGTTTTCATGCAGGTATGCACATTTCGATTGATAGTGAAGAATGCAGCCTCATTGCTTGGAAGTAAAGATCCTGTAAAGTTGAAAGCCGAAGCCTTGCTGGATGACCTAATAAGGTATCTATTCGCTTTTAGCATCTTTGTGCTGCTGCACCAACTTGCGTGTCGCTCAATTCTCTTCTTGATGCCATTGGAATCACTTAAAAAAGTAGGAAGAATCTGCACAACTGGAAATTTTTTTATGCCATTGACACAAGCAAATGTTTTGAATGGTTCTGTTTCCTGTTTATATCTGTAGCCGTATAATTCTTTGTTTGGTCTTGGTGATCCTGAAACTTTGTTGGCATGTCTTTGTAATAAAGAATACACAATGAAGGGGATAAGTTAGCTCAGCTGAGTGCAGTTACCTGAGATTTTGAACCTCTCCTCAGAGTTGCTCCTAGCGAAGTGAAGGCTTTTCTTATCAAATGATGTAATGGGACCTTTACCCCCTTTTTAATGTAATGTTGGGTACCCAAAAAAAAAAAAAACAAAAACACAAACAAAAACAAAAATGGAACATGAGATAATTGCAACAAAGATTCCTGTTTTTCATGAGATAATTGCAACAAAGATTCCTTTTTTTCTTTAATAAAAGCTCATGCACACCAGTTTTGACCTCAAATTCTTTATCTGCGCCTAGATCTGCTTTTCCTCATTTTACACCCTGGTGGTCTTGACTGTTGAAATTAATGGCAATTGCCTAATGTCGTAATATATGGTGGTGTTCTCTGGTTTGGCATATCTATGTACATGACAACCATAATGATTGGTTGTTTACTTATTCTTTGTTGCTCCTTATAATGCAGATCTTTCACCTCTGTCAGTGGCCTGGCAGGCGAAACCACTTTTAAACTTGCTTCTAATAGGTATGTCTTTAATAGTAGAAACCTAGAGAATGCAAGATCTTCATCTTTTAATGATGTAATAACTAATAAAAACTTATGCACCCAATGTGTATATATTTATATAACTTAGCGTGGTTCTATCTTCTGTTGTCTTTACTTATATGGTAACATCCTCTTACGAGACATATTCTTTCCATCCCAATACTGGAGTTTAGTTCAGTTAAGAAATGGCCTTAGTGGAACTCCAATTGTAATCAATTAATAGCAATTAGACTTGGAACATTTCCTCTGTGTCAATGTCTAAACTTTTGCTGTCTATCGAAATGATAAATTTGGCTGTGATCATGCAACTATAATTTCGACCTCTCCTCGAACTGCTTTACAAGTGTGCAAGTGCGTGTGTGTGTTTTAACATTTGACGACAGCTCCATTAACATTATCACAATCTTTCATTTGGATCATGGAGGCCACTCAGATTTATTCCATTTGAAATAAAGCATATAGTTATATATTACTATCTCCTCTCCAAATTTGTCATCGTACTTGCAGTCATGTGTTTCTTCACTTATTTGTTATGAGCTGGAACTTAATCAATTCAATAGCATTTTCCTATTCGCATTTGATGCAGAAGAAAGATAGCAGATGCTGTGGAGGATACACTATCTTCTCTTGACAAATTTGAGCAGGGAATCAAGGATTGCCTTGAAATCTGACTGTTAAGGGTAGCCGTAGCCGGTAGTTTTGCTTCTCTTCCTTAAAGTGGAAAGTCCAAGTTCTAATGATTATGGAACTGATGGAAGTGCCATTAGGCTGTAACATGTGGATGATATTATGTGCACTCCCCCTCCCCCTCCCCCTCCCCCTCCCCTCTTAATCGGGTAATTGTTGATATCTGCCAAAGGCAAGGTTGAATGCTGTGAAAGGCTGGGATATAATCTATTAATTTTGGGTAATATCAATAAAAAAAAGGTTATCTATCATCATGAAGTTCATAGTTTCTTTATCAAACATTTGAAACTTTTTAATGTTAGCTATCTCACGGCCTGACCAAAGGAGGTTTGAGAATCAAATTTTTGCCAGTGTTAATTGCCCCTTCTGCCCCAGGTAGTTAGTTTCTTGAGCATTTATCTTGTATCAACATATTTCATAACTAGTTGTGAAACAAAATTCGTCTGTGTTAAACTTGTGTTTTATTTTGATCTGGGATGACATCGTCTCTGGTCTACCAGTCTTGTGGAGAAATTGCAGATGACCTTGATTGCATAATATCTTTTATATGCAGGCTACATTCATAAACTGTAAATATTAAGCATTTAGTTTTTATTAGTCTATTACAAGGTAATACTGTAATAGCTTCAAAGATCTGAAATGATTCATAAAAATCCGCCCAGAAAGATAAAGGAAGATATGCATTCCCCCCAACTTTATAGTGTTGCCTCCTTTCGATCGATACCGTGCGCATGTCCAGTTTCATTGCTTTTGAATTTTTTTTAATTAAATGTTGATATTTATCCAAAGGTTAGTCATGCTTTATCATGTATTGCATATAGTTTATTATGAATTACATTATTTATACTTTTATAGCATCGTTCACAACTCACAAATATTATCAGTTGCTATAAATTTTGTATCATATATTGATCATATATGTATATAATGATTATAAATTGATTTTAAAGATAGTTGTTAATGTGATGCATGGCGCATTGTGAAGTAGAATGGACTGCAGGCTGCTTAATGCCGCTCCATTTTCACTTGTGCTGTGAAAGTGTTTCTTTTTCACTTCATTTGCTGTTCCCTTTTATTTGTTTTTTTTTTAACTATACAACTAGATATAATTGCTCTCTGTGGGGTTCGATGGAGATAATATATCAAAAGTTATTTAAAGCTTGCAGTCACTTGTTTTGTTATACCCAAACGTCACTGAAATTTACGGTGAAAAATTGCATCAAATTCAAAAAAATCTATGGATGAATATAGAATAGTATTGGGCCCTTTCCATCATCCATGATTTCTGAATAATGCCTGTTTTGTAAATTTGAGGGGAGGAGAAAGAATTGGGCCGTTTCTATCATCCATGATTTCTGAATAACGCGTGTTTTATAAATTTTATATTTGATATGGACTCATTTGATATTTACTTAAAAAACAAAGACAAAATAATAGAAGATTAATTAAAAAAACAAAGACAAAAGCAAGTTAAATTGTTCTATGATGAAACAGTCAAAATCATATTCACATCTTCAGGTCAGAGGCTTCCGAAAGTTATATTTCCTCCTCTGAACAGGTATCGACAGAGCGGCGTTGCCGCAGTAAATGTACAACCAACGTTGCATGGCACTGACCTGCTACCGTACTAGTATGCTACCAACAAATCTAGACTGTAAATTTGATCTGACTTGGCGATAAAGATCTCCATATCAGGACTGACTCAAAGTAGCTTCATTTGATTGATCTGGTGAACCCGAAGCTTCCACTAAATACAAGCGACAACATGGTGTTCCGTCATCTGGATGAGTTTGTACCGACCTAGGCACATTAAGAAGCTTGTTGAAGAGATTTAATGGATCATTCAATAGTCCAAAATGGGCATCTGGGTCACCTATTTGCGAAAGTTTTACGTGGGCGAAGCCGATGGATGGCAAGAGATGGTCGGGCCAATCGCTGTAAAAATGGAAGGTGGAGCTGGATAGCATAGTTGATGGTTTGTTCATGAAGTCTGCTAAGAGCACTGTGTGGGTTAGCGCGCATTTTTCAGCTATGATCCTCAGCACTTGCATGGCGTGGAGTTGAGTTAGGTAGTAGAGGATACCTTCTAGAATCCACACCGTTCTCTTCTCCGGCAAGAAACCTGAAATTTTAAGTTTCTCCAGCCAGTTATCTTCTCTGATGTCGGCCGCTACTCTAGTTAAGGATTTTGCTCTGCACATAATCTGTTGCTGCTGCGGGTCATCGTCCTTCGCGGATTCCTCTGCCGCTCGCAAAATGGTGGCTTTCACCTGTAAGACTTCAGGAAAATCAACTTCAAATACATCACTGTCTTTTAAGCAACTCAAACGATAGGCCCTCGTGTCCATTCCTACTCAAAAGTTGCACAAGATCTCATCAGTTTGGATCATTTCTGCGCTGCAAGATTATGATTCTGAAATCTTCACAAAATTAAAATATAGGATTTCTAGCCATTGTAAGAACTAAGGAAAATCAACTTCAAGTACAACATCTTTTAAGCAAATGACAGACCAACTTTAGGCCCTCGTGTCCATTCCTACTTAAAAACTGCACATGATAATCAGTTCGTATATTTTTTGCGTCACAAAGCTGTGACTGTAAAAATCTACACAGAATTCAAATCCAGGATTTTTAGCCACTCTGCTCGGACTCCAATTGCCGAAGTTCAGCTTGAGGTGCAGCTGTAACATCATTTCGGCCACAGGCCCGAGCAGATTCTCTTCCGTTGTCCCCTTTGATTCCCCCCGGTTAGTGGCGGAGGGGAATTTGAAAGCCTATGTAATTATTCGACGGACGCACATGGTTGTTACTTGATATACTCTTTGTGCACTATTGGCCGTGGTCCAAAAATGTCCAAATCGTTCTTGTCTGCTGATGATCCCAGCGCGCGGGTTCATCAAAATCTTCAATAATATTTCAGGCTTAAAAAATCATCAAGAAGAGTTGCCAAGTATAATTGTATTTTAAAATGATCTTGCAGACATGGTATCCACAGAACGTCTCAGTTTTACACCAAACATCTTCAGAACCTAGGCTCTCTATTGCTTCTTGCGTACCATCCCCTGTAAAGCAGGGATCTTCCCATATTCTGAGGCGAGTGAATGACGCACCCACTTCGTTTTTTTCTTTAACCTTTTAGGTTCATTAATTGACAAACATGATGAACGGTTCTTTTATTTTTAGTGATATATATATATATATATATATATAAGACAAGTTTAAAATGATTACAGTGGAGTCGTTACGAACCTGCGCCAAGAAGAACAACCTGAGCTTCTCTGCCATTGGGGGAATTAAGAGCAAGCTCGAGTCTGGAATCGAACCAGAGTGTTCGAACGGCAAGAATGACTCCAGAAATCTCACGTGCATTATTGAGGTGGTCTTTCTTGATCTTGTCATGGAGGTTTCTCAAGTAAGTCTCTCCTGCCAGTAACTCCGCCAGCGGATCACGGACGACGTGCTTCCACAGAGCCCTTCCTGCCGCCGTTTGACAAGCTGACCTCTGAAGGAAATCCCACTCCTTCTCAATCGTGGCGTGCACTTGTCGAACGGCGTCGTTCTGCAACAACTCCGGCAGCTTCAGCTCCGGCCACGTGGGGTCCTGAGGCAACCCATTTACTTGATCCGTCATGACTCACCGCGGGGGATCAAGAGGTTGTTGATGAGGATAATGCATTGTATTTATAAGGAGAGGTGAAAAGAGATAAGAAAAGAGAACCACACACAGCCTACGCTTGAGAACAAGCCTTAATCCGTTAGTCGTATCTAGCTTCCTGGCCTTAATGAAAGCCGAGGTAACGGTGCAGTCCACGACTACCACTACTACAATAACTAATGCTGCCCCTTTTCCTTTCCCCATTCCTGTCTCTGGCTGTCTGTCTATTTATTTTTGGAGTACCCATTATTATTATTATTATTTTATTATAACAACAGCAAGCACTAACTACGTGAGATTGAACAAATAATTTTTCACTTGCAAGAGAGAGCTTACATGTTGTATCCTGTATTTTAATTTGTCCACGTCCAACTAGAAACTTTAATAGTCAATCAATACAGAAGGTAGAAGCTCTGTTAACAATGTTTCTAGAACTTGAATTCTGGCTTCTAATTAAATTGATATAACTCTTATATCAATTCAACCAAATGCCAAATGGAATTTTCATATCTATTTTCTGGTGGAAAAAAAAAGTGACATTCTATTGCTCCCATGATTGCTGCGTATTTATTTATTTTTTAAACTTGATGTGGACGGTTCAACCCCAAACATGGGCTATTGCTAACCAGCTAGTACGGTACATTATCAGCTTCCACGTACTCATTTGTTTCTTTTTCCCCGTGACATTGGAAGATCTTTGATGTTCATTATCATCCTGATGAGATTTAAACCATTCATATTACATTAGAAGAATCACCTTTATTATCACCCTAATAAAATTTGGACCGTTCAGGTAATTTAATATGAACAATCCATATTTAAAATTTTTAATTTATATTATTTTATATTTATTAAAATAAAATATAGAAATTATAAAAAAATATAATAAATCTGTTTATCACCAATTGAATAGTTCATATTTAGCTCAGATTGTTCAAATTTAATATTAAACATTTTTATAATTTTATAAATTAATTTTCCAAATTTAAGTTTAAATTAAAATTTTTAACTTACAATTCTCTTAAAAAATGTATTTTTTTAAAAAAGTATCCATCATGGTATCATTATTTTTAATATTTATTTATTAAAATAAAAAATTATGAAAAATTTAATATTAAATCCACTAATCTAGACTATTCAAAATATATTTATTTAGTTGATTTATAAAAACTATAAAAAATTTAATATTTAATTACACAAATCAGATTGAATTTGCACTATCTTGATTAATGATAAATTATTTATTAAAAAAATTATAAATTTTTATTTTAATAAATATAGATATAACTTTAAATTTTAAATTTTAAATTTGAACCGTTGAAATCTCATCGGGGGCGAGCGGGCAAGAAAGACAGCCTAGACATTACACTTGTGAGTTAGCAACCATTTTAAGGCGATTTTTCTCACAAAGAAAAGTTAAAAAGAGGTTATTATATCTTCCAGCCAAACGGGATAAAAGTTGTTAGATTAAAATCTGATGTGCAAAATTTTATCTATTATTTATTTTAAAATATATAATTTTATCTTCTAACTGTTAATTAAAAAATATGATAATTAAAAAAATGAGAGTATCAATTATTGAAGTTTAATTCTAGACATAAAAATAATTTAATGGAACTCAATCGGAGCATGGAACCAATTTTAGTACTCATCATATAAATGAGTATCAAGAACTTATCATTTCTGAACTTTTTAGATCTAATTTTTATAGTCTAGACAATTTTTTGATAGGTATTTTTTAAGTAAAAATTAGTTTTTTTGAAAAATTAATAGTTACTCCCCCCGTTCGAAAATGTAAGGCATTTTTTAAAGAGTTGAATGTTAAAAAATATAAGGCATTTTTAATCTTTTGAGATGTGATCATTGCCTTTTTTTTCAAAAATAACCCTATTGATAAATGACTTTATATTTATTGTAGGGTATTTGACAGGGATAAATATAAAAAAATAAAGTTAATTTAAAAGTAGATAACTACTTCATTAGGGGGTGAGATTCGATTAAAAATATCTTATATTTTTTAATAGAGTGAGTAAAAGATTGTCTTTATTTTAGATTTTGTGTCCATGAAAATAATTTTTTAAAAAAAATAAAAGTAAAAGGTTGTAAATCTAGACCATTTAGATTAGATTTGAATGGTTTAGAAGCATTAAACTCTTAATATTTATCTATAGAATAAAATGCATGAAGTTCTCTGAACTTTAAAACAGTTACATATGACCCTTCCTCATCTTTAAGTGTTTAAAATTAATCTTCTAATTTTAATTTTATTTTTCAAAGCTTGTTCTAATAATTGTGTTATTTTTTCATAATGGTTAAAATATTATTTAACTAAAAAATATTATTAAAAAAATATTATATTGTAAAATTATTTATAATCAATTTATTATATTATTTGAATAATTGAGGCATTAATAGAAAAAATGTTATTATTACTGTATAAAATTTTAAATATTTATGGTTATATTAGTTGTATCAATTTTTTGGTTATCAATGGTGTATAGTCTTATTGTTTTAAAGGATAAATTTTTATTTATATTTTCAAGTTAGATTAATATAATACATATAGCTAATATTTTTAAAATTTAAAATATTACCAGGTTAAATTAATTTATCCTTTAATACAAGTAAAGTATGCACCATTAATATCAAAAATTTGGATAAAACTAATAGTAAATATTTAAAATTTTGTATGGTGATAATAATATTTTTTTGCCTATCCATGCCTCAATTATTCAAAAAAATATAAAAAATTGATTAGCCGTAATTTTATAATATAATATAATATCTTGTTTAATAATATATTTTTAATTAAATGATATTTTAACTCTTATGAAAAAATAATATAATTAATAGAAAGGAGTTTTGAAAAATAAAATTAAGTATTAAGGGATTAATTTTAAATACTTAAAGGTAAGAAAGTTACATACAATTGCTTTAAAATTTAGTACAGTTTCATGCACTTTAACATATCTGTACAATGAACACTAAAACTAATTTCAGATCTTCCGCTTTGCCCGGCTTAGAGCAGCATGGGACAAGTTGGGCGTCCATATGGTTGAAAACCAGAAGCAGACGGAAAAACCAAGAAATATGCATCCAATCGAAAAACCTTCAAGAGGATATTACCCCATCCTTATGCCTTATGCTCTTCTCTTGCTACCCCAATCCCAACTCATTTGTTTGTTTTAATGGACAAGGTTACCTTCTATTTGGACTAATCTTTCTTGAGGATGGATATAAGAGTTAGATATTCAACACCGGATCAAATTATTAAAAGAATGAGAGCACTTGTACTCGCAATAACTTTGAGCTCGCCAGACTATGCAATATTTTATGTCGCGTGTTTTCATCTTCCTTTCATTGTATTTGTGTATTACCATTAATTGTTTTATAAAAATAAATTATTTAGAAAAAATTATTACCATAAATTGTTTTAAGACGACAAATGTGAAATACAATTAAATAAAAATTACTCTATCCACAATCCAATTATCAATGATCATGATAGATCAAAGTCTTGTTTCACAGAAGATTGAACAATTCAAAATGTTGCGCAAAACTTTACATAAATAATTTTTTTCGGCGAGCACGACAAATAATTTTTTGCTACTATATGGACAAATCTTATGAGAATCCAACGATAAACCCCACCACTTGACGACACATTCCAATACACTTGAAGAGTTAAGCATCAAGTATTAATTATTGAGTATTAAGTATTATAAAAATAAGACGAAGTTGTCTTAAGACAACAAATGTAAAATATAACTTAATAAAATTAATAAAATATACTCGTTGTATAAAAAAAAAAAATGCTTGTTATAAACTCCATCCGTCACTCAATGTCCACGATAAATTAATATTTTTTTCACGGAAAATTGGACACTTTAAAAGGTCCAGTGAAACTTACTTAAAATAATTATTTTGGCGAACGCGTAAAATAATTTTTCTACCAACAAAATTAATGTTTGGCTGCTTTATAGACAAACCTTAGAATAATCCAACAATAAATACCACCACTTGATAACACAGTCCAATGTATGATGCATCAAATATTCTCCCGGTTTTTTTTTTTTTAAATGAAAAGTGAATCCATTAACAAAAACAACCGGAAAAAGCTTACAACACTTTCCTAAAAGCACCACAATCCGACAAATCTCTGTAACTAAACTTCCATCTTGTAGCTGCTGGAAAACCGAAAACTGCAGTGGCCGCTCTGTCATCAAATTCCACTGTCTTACTCAAACCTGAGACACACAATCTTTCACCGTTGCTTTGGGTAATCAAACCTTGGCCTCTGGGGAAGTCGGTGTCGACAATAGACGTACACCCTCCGTGCACGCTTGCAAGTTCTCTTGTTATAGCCTCCCTAGAACAACAGATAGATGGCGACGGAGATAGAGTGCTGTGGGACGCGATTCGCGCTGTACGTGTTGATAGTGATAGGGTTGGTGTGCTTTGCCGGACTGATGGCTGGTCTTACTCTCGGTCTCATGTCTTTGGGCCTCGTCGACCTTGAGGTTCTCATGAAGTCTGGTCGTCCTCAGGATCGTGCCCATGCTGGTACCCTCTCTGATTCTCTTTCGTTCTTTCCCCTCTTCCTCTTCTTAATCACTACCAATTTGTCATGTTTTTATTATATTTGATCAATTGTTTGTTATTTGGATGCTGATTTGGTTGGTAGATGGTAAATACTAAGGCTCGCTTGATTTGATTTCGGGCGCCTTACTGAGTTTCTGTTTCTTCTATTCTGAAGTTTCTTCACAGCGCCTGTGACTTGATATATGTAAAAGTTTAAATTTTTGGGGTTTTATGTGAATTCTTGCCGTCCTGAATTTGGGAACTGTAAATATCAGCACTTGTTGGATTGTAGACTTCCGAATTTGCGTTAATCGACATGTGATGAAGTCCGTCTTGTCTCTGAGACGTGGATAGTAAACATCCTAGTTTGGGAACTGAAATGAACTCAGTTTCCTTGTCTACTATACCTAGTATGTCAAGACAGTGGATTCACTTTGTGTATGTCTAGTTGTGATGTTTACAAGGTTTGGGACGTATGAGTCATTTAGAAAACAATTTGGGTGCACAATTCTTGCTTGATAAGTTGATATATTAAAACCTACTAAACCCCCACAATTTGGGCGCACAATTCTTGCTTGATAAGTTGATTTATTAAAACCTACTAAACCCCCTTTTTGCAAATTTCAAATTTCTGTTTTTGCAGCTAAAATTTTCCCAGTGGTAAAAAACCAGCATCTTTTGCTTTGCACGCTTTTGATTGGCAACTCTTTAGCAATGGAGGTAGTGTTAGGCTCTCATGGCTTTGGTGGAGCCATTTTGCTGTTTTTTTGGTATCTATCATGATTTGGTTGCTTACAAGTTGCAACAACCCATCTGCCGGTCTTGCTACAGGCTCTTCCTATCTTCTTAGATGCTCTTGTACCTCCATGGGCGGCAATCTTGTTATCAGTCACGCTCATCCTAATGTTTGGGGAGGTAAATTTAAATTGATGGAATAATTATACCAGCTGTTTGTTGAAAATGCATAGGACATTTCAAATTATTTGAAATATCTCAACTACATATTACTTCATCTCTATACTTAAGGAGGATGCATATTACATACGTTTAAATTCTATTTTTTATCTACTTATCATGTTAGTTAGTTAGTTCTCATATGTCATGATTTTTGTTTGTTTTTTTATGCTTTTCCATGCTTCTTCTATAAAAACAGGCATCCTATACATACACGCACACTTAATTATATTGGAAAGAAGTACTCATTGTTCAGGTGGTAACAAAGCCTAGTTCTAGCCAGCTATAAACTTCTGCACACCTTCACCGTTATATAGAAAAAAGTCTAAAGCCAGTGTACATTCAAACTGTTGCAACTAAATTGTGGCAATGGACCAAGAGTATGTTTCAATGATTCCCATCTATTTTTTCTTTTGAGCCACTGCTTCCAGTCAGTTTGAATCACCTTTTTTTTTTTGTGTTAAAAGTTTAGATCTCCATTATTTGCTCAAATGGTGTAATTTCCTTAGATGGCCCTTATCAATGCTTATGTATATTAGGGGGAGAGGGAAAATGGTGTTATTTGAATGCCAGCACTTAGGAACTAGCACCTAACGATTCTCAGTATGCCATATGGACTGCTGAAAACTCCATGGTGATGACATAGCCAGTAAATTCCATGGGTGAAGACATTGTTTTGATTATATGTATGATCAGTTAATCACAAGGCCAAGGAGCTTTGATGCCAATCAAATATGTTCTGATTCATGTTACAATTCACGAATTTACGAGCTGGCCTTAAAGCCCAGCAAGATCCACCAAAACATGGAGGAAGTGTCACCAAGTGCTTCAATTTTTGAAAACTCCGTGACTATGAATTGATATCTGTTTAAGATGCTGAGCACCATAAATATTAGGTGGAAGAGGGGGATAGCTTTGTGTGCCTTATGTCCCTTCAAATGATCAGGCGGCAGACATCCTGACTAGAGGACTGACCTAGAAACAATTAGTTTAATATTAAATCAGTTGTCCGTGAATGACATTTTTTCAGCCATCTTTAAGGGAAGTGTTAAAACCCTTTGGAAGATATGAATTATTTGAAATATATCACTATTTGTCATCCCCCCCCCCCCATATTTTAGGATAGGTAATACACAGATTTAAATTCTTTTCCTTTATTTTATTTACTTATCAAGTTAATTAGTTAGTTCGTTTATGTTATGATTTTTGTTTGTTTTTGTTATGCATTTGATTCCTTTTGTTGCATGACACTTTGGCCTGTTCCTCTTAAAGAGGATTTTGTGTACCTATGTAAATACAGACTCAATGCAAACTAAAAAGAAGTACTTTTCTATTCATACTTGTACCTTTTGCTTTGAAAGATTTTTTTTTTTTTCATGATTTGAGTATTTTTGCTTAAAATCCAATGTGATACTGCAGATAATGCCACAAGCTGTCTGTACTCGTTATGGCTTGACAGTTGGAGCAACAATGGCACCCTTTGTTCATGTTCTTCTTCTATTATTCTACCCCATTTCTTATCCAATCAGCAAGGTGGAAATTTATGATTTTGCATGTAATTACTGTGAATGCTGGAAGAAGCTGATATCTATTGGATATTCTTATAATTCCAGGTTCTTGATTGGATGCTCGGCAAGGGACATGCTGCCCTTTTAAGGAGGGCAGAGCTCAAGACTTTTGTAAACTTTCATGGGAATGAGGTTAGATATCAATGTTAAAGTTCTTGTTGATCAATAAATTCAGTGCCTTTGGAGTCATCTGTATGTTTTAGAAGGGCTTTCATATTTTTTTGATGTGAGGTTAAAACTTATGAGCCTTATGCTGTAATTCTTTTCATATAGCTTTGCCTAGTTCTCTGATGCACGAGGGTGTATTTATTTGTTTCCTCATCTAGGCTGGCAAAGGAGGAGATTTAACGCATGATGAGACAACAATCATAACTGGTGCTCTTGAGTTGACTGAAAAGACTGCAAAAGATGCCATGACTCCCATATCAAAGGCATTCTCCCTCGATCTGGATGCAACTCTAACTTTGTGGGTTTGTCAATTCTTTAATGTCCTCGACTCCTTTCCATTATGTTTGTGTCTCTTTATTGTCTTACCTTGTTCTCTCTTTCTGCATTGAAGGGAGACACTGAATGCAATAATGACCATGGGTCATAGTAGAGTTCCAGTTTATGCAGGAGATCCAACAAATATTATTGGACTTGTTCTGGTATTTTTCTTTCAACACCTAATGGGAAGTTTAGTTTGAGGTTTTGTCAGCTAGTGGAGTGGGATTGTGGATTGTTTATCAACGATAATTATTGATTTGCATTATTGTTCATCTGTTATGTTCTTGCTACCGTCTTGGATCCTGTCTGTGATCATTTCCTATTTCTAGCAATGGATTGTCTATTTATACCTCTCAGAATATCTTTTAAGACGGGAAAAAATTGAATTTCAGTGCAATACTCTGGCACCATCTGTTTGTTATTAATTCTTCCAGCTATTTATGTACTCAAGTAATTTTATGCTTTCCCTTGCTTGTGATATCCATTGAATCTAGCGGTTCCTCTGCTTTTGCTTGCAGGTTAAAAATCTTCTAATGGTTTATTCAAAAGATGCAGTTCCTCTAAGAAAAATGATTATTAGAAAAATTCCTCGGTAAACTCTTTTCCTACACATTAGATGAGATACATACCAATGAAACAAAATGAATATCTGTCAGATGACACTTTTTTTTACGGATGTGCTGGTTTGCTGCTGGTAGTCTGTACTCTGTAGTCATGATTTCCTCATCGTCCTGCAGTGTTGCTGACAACATGCCTCTATATGACATACTGAACGAATTTCAGAAGGGTCACAGCCATATAGCCGTTGTGTATAAGGACCTGAATGCTAAAAAAGAAGTTCCTAAAGAGAGTAAAGATGGGGAACAACTTGAATTTAAAGACAGCTGCAAGAACAAGGGGAAAAATGCATTGTTGGAGAAAGGTAGAATGGTACTTCGCTTTTTAATTTCATGTTATAACTTATGAATGATCTGCTCAATAGATATCTAGGGATTTACCTGGTTGACCTGACCTGTCAAATGTCAATTGTAATGAATATAGGTGCCAAATTGGAGATGACTGACAGTTCTGATGGAGGTCCACAGGTGAAGAAAAGCCCGCCAGCAACTCCTTCCTTTAAGAAGCGACATAAAGGTTGTTCATATTGCATCTTGGATGTGGAGAATGCTCCCCTGCCAACATTTCCAGCCAATGAAGTGGTTGTTGGTGTAATTACAATGGAGGATGTCATTGAAGAACTTCTCCAGGTTAGATGCTTTTCAAATATTTTATGGTAACCACTGTCGGTTTGGACATTGTCCTGTTTGCATGTTTTCGTGAATGTCTTTCTGGTGATAAGGATTCAACTGTGAATGTTACTGGCATGGTGAAAAAAAAAAAGAGAGAAAGAAATTGGCCGAACTTCCATTTGGCATTGCTACTACTGGAAATATTTTCCCAGTTTTCCGATGCATGTTTGTTAAAGATGCATTCTTTAGGACACTTTTTGTGGATAAAAAAAAAGTAATAAAAATTTAACTTCTGCAGAGTGCAGAATTACTTCCATTTTGTAGGTTCCAAAAATTGCTTGCGTAGGTTTATTGCCACTAAGCTATTAGCTTGATATCTTTCTATTGTAACTTCTGATTCCAACTTCATTTAATATTTGCTTGTTACAGGAGGAAATATTAGATGAAACTGATGAATATGTTAATATTCATAACAAGTAAGTAGATAACCTTGTCCTCTCTATCTAATTTTATTTTTGGTTGGTCATCGCTTAACGGGATTGCCTCGTTGGGTATTTAGAATGTTATACACCATTGGGTGGTACCATGATCTATATTGACTGATGAAAGAGTTTAATGATGCCAGGATAAAAGTGAACATGCAGGCTTCCAAGGAGAAGGCCCCTGATGCAAACATAATGCAGCCTTCTGTAAAGGGATCATCATTGTTATCAACTTCAAGCTCTGTCGGTATCACTGCCGATTCTCTCAACCCTCCTTTAGCAGTTTCAGGCTCACCTCATTGAGCCAGTACAGGACCCGCTTGCATGAGAATGAAATGTGAAATAGGGTTGGGTTAATAAGGCAGAGCAGGAGATTGTTACTTGTGAATGATATATAGTGAATCATGTTAGGTTATACAAAAAGGAATCGTAGAAGATGTATTTTGGTGGTGTATGTTATAAATTGAAAAAATAATGTATGTGTGGCAGATCCTGCAAGGGAGTTTGGTGTTCATATTTATTTCCTTAACACACACACACACACAGGGTCAAACGGCCGAGAAGTGAGTTTATTGTTTCTGTCCATTTTTTTGGGTCAAGGTTTCTGCCAGACATTAAATGTTAAAGATAATTGAAATCTAAACCTCTTATAAAAATCCAAGGGGTATGTGTAATCGAATCCCTTCTATCTTCTTAGCAGCTGTTTGGTTTGCCTTCATAATCAATTGGACTAAAGTACAAATTTGTCTTAAATGTTTTCAAGGAAGCACAATTGGTATCCTTATGTTTTTAAAGATACAATGTTATCTTGACATTTTTTAAAATAGCACAATTTTGCCTTGACTTGATGATTTGACTGCATTGATGGTTAACTTTTAATTTTGACGGTTAAATACTTAGGTGGCAAGTTAAGTGGAGGTTCATATTTGAAAGTGAGATTCATTTTTTTTTTTCAATTCTTTTTCTCCCATATGTCTTTCCTTCGTCTTTGATTTCTGTAGAATAATCCTTGAATAATCTCACAAACCCACATCTCAAGTCTCAAAATAAAACAATGTTGAATCAAACTAACCCTTTTCGAACGTGAGATGCTTGTTTCTGATCGTTCAATAAAGGAAGCAAATGTTGAAGAAGGAACAAATTGTCTAGGGAACGCAAAGGAGCCATGAAACATAATAATACCTAGCAATAAATCAGCCATGAATATATAAATAAAACTTTTGCTTCTATTAATATGCAATTTTTGCGGAAGAACAAACCAAATAAAAAGCATATAAAATCTAAAAAGAATGCCTAGCATAGAACATATACAATAATATCCAGCAAATTAAAGGCAAATTTCAACAAGAATTCTTACGTTTTCAATAATAACTTTCAATTAGTGATTCCCTTGCCACTTTTATGTTTCAATCAAAACCATTAAATCAAACAATAAAATCAATAAATCCATACTTAGAACCCAGAAACCCATAACCATTGATGCTTAATGTTGCTTGAGATCAACCCAAAAGCTCAAAATCGAAGGTTCCAAAACACACACAAACTTCAGTCGCCGTCTTCACATTGTTGTCGTCCTTATGAAATTGTTTCAGATCAAACCCAAAAACTATGAAGAGACGTGATTGTCAGTTCAGATCAAGTTGGCCAACACTATTGATTTTGTTAATTTGAAAACACCCTGTTGATTTCGTTAATTTTCAATTTAAATCAAGTTGCGACCCATTGACTAACTTTTCTCTAACGACAAGCTCATCCCTTTTCTTCTCATCTCCCTCCCACCCTCTTTACCAATCTCACCTTTTCATCCTCCTTGGCTTTACCTCAATGTAAGTCTAATGGGGTTCACAGATGAGTTCATAAAGTAGATGGAGCCCTGTTTCCAAGGAGTGGAAAAAAGGTTGATTATAAATCTTGATGAAGGTCATATGGTCAGCCATTATACTCTTTACCAATCTCACAAATCCAAAACCCTCTCATCTTCCTCAATATTTCAATTTGTTTTTAAATTTTATTTGTTATTTTTTAATTTTTATAATAACCACATCAAATGTGGTAAGTGATGTGATAAAGTATGCTGGTCAAATAACAAGAGTTAATGATCTATGCAGACTTTCTGTCACAGCAGGGCTAAATTGTGTGATTTTAAAAAATGTCAAGGTGATATTATGCCTTTAGAAATGTAAGGATATCAATTATGCTTTTTTGGAATCGTTTGGATAAATTTATACTTTAATCCTAATCAATTAATGAGGCTTACACCACATTTTTGGAGCAAATTATCTAAACGGCACAATATGTAGCCGATTAATGAGACTTAAACCACGTTTTGAATTAAGCTACCCCTGTCAGCTTTTGTTAATATATTATACTGTCAGAATAATAAATAATGTGTCAAAATTCCCTTCCTTGCCAAGGCTATACTTCCATGCATATTCAGAGTCCCCTTATCTGCCAATTATACTGTTGTATCTAATATTAATTTTTTTTTCATTAATTAAATATAAGTTAATAAATTTAATAATATTAAATATAACTTTATCAATACTTTAATTTTAAAAAGCAACATATTTTATAATAATTTATATAATTAAAATTAATTTTGAATAGTAAATATTTTTAATTTTATTAAAATCAATTTAAACAAATAATATTTAAATTGGTTGTGTTATAACATAATTAATTATAATTAAAATTAATAAATTATTTTTATAATTAATTATATTCAATTAAAATTCAATCAGGCTAATAGAGTAGAATGCAAAAGATTAAATTTAAGCAATTTTTTACATTCGGTGAGAAAAATATAAAAACCGTCACTATTTCCAAAAAGTCAAGGCAGAAACAGCGATGCCAATTCGTGCGAAACAAACGCCTTAATCGGGTAGCCCGCAACCCCGGTGTCCTCACACAGTTGAAAACACTGAGTCCTGCAAGACTCTGCTTCCTTCAACGGATCCACGCTCCCACGAACAGTGAAGACTATGATATCCCACCATCTTTTCACGTTGTGGAATCCTTTCTTTCCTTTTCCTTCTACTTCAGGATTTATAATACTCCGTTCTCAGCTATTCTAACTAGTTGTTTCGCTTCTTTCTTTTGTTGCTCTTTTCGTTTTGTCCCTTTCCGAGAACAGCCATTTCGCCTGCCGATGGGAACAAACCCTGTTGAATCTCATCTTAGTTATCTCATTCACCCAGCTGGGCACCCAATCTTTTGATTCGTTTAGTTCAATATAAATGGTTTCTGCATTCTGGCGCTCTCCCAATTTGCCTCTGTTGGGAGGAATCCCATGGATCTCGTTTCTCCCTTGAGTTCTGCTTAGTTTTATCGTGGTATTTCATTGCTCATCTGCATTTCTTATACGTTTTCTTGCTCGATTTGTATCGGTTAGAGTTGCTTTAAACAGCCAGTACTGTGATAGATTTCATAGATGGCTATAGCTCGTATGGTTCGCCAAAACAAACGTCCATTTGGGTTATGTGTAAAAATGACGGCAGTGACTCTGTTGGGCCTTTGCTTTATCTTTGTGTGGTCAGTTTTTACTTCTCCCTCCTCCACCGTAACCACCCAAAGGGAAAGCTTTGACGACATTGCTGAACCCGTATCTGCTAACGTGAGGGAAATGAATTCTGGGGTTCAAACAAAGAAGATAAAACCCGAAAAGCACGAGGAATCAAGCAAGGTAGGTGATTCGTTGAGAGATGAAATTCAGAAGGACGAGAAGAATAGGAAAAAGATGAATGAATCAGTTTCGGTGTCTGTTAAACACCGAGAACCTAAGGAAAGAAACAGGAAGGCGGGGACACATAACCCGAGAAAGGAACATAAAGAAAATAAAGAGAACCAGAATCAGGAATCTGGGAAATCAGATGGTAAAGAATCAGAGGAGGACAAGGAAGAAGAGCGGGATGATCAAGAAGTAGAAGCTGAAGAACAAGGAACAGATCGGGAAAGTGAAATGGATGTGGATACAGATGGTGGCAACCAGTTAATTGAGTCGGCTGATCAGGATTCTGAGGAGGTGGAGGATGGAACAGTGGAGTCAAAAAAACCAACCAAGAAGAAGATAAAAGGACCGTTGTTTGATCCAAGAGCCACTTATAAATGGAAATTATGTAGCACTAGAGGCAAGCATAACTACATTCCATGTATAGATATTGAAGTTAATTCTGGAAAGCTGCAGAGCTATCGTCATACAGAGAGAAGTTGCCCTAGAACGCCTCTAATGTGTTTGGTTCCTCTTCCTCATGAAGGATATGGCTCTCCCGTCCCATGGCCCGAAAGCAAGTCGAAGGTATATGAACAACTGAAAATGGTTAATGTTGATGGATAAAAATTTCACTAGTCTTTAGTCATATCTCATGATAAAATTTTGTCAGTGCAGATATTGTACAAGAATGTGGCACACCCAAAGTTAGCGGCATACATAAAAAAACATAATTGGTTGGTGGAGTCTGGAGAATATCTTACATTTCCCCAAAACCAGTCTGAACTTAAGGGCGGGATTCTCCATTATCTTGAGTCCATTGAAGAGGTAAGTTTTCTATTATGCTGCCCCTTGGATCGTCACCGTATGTTTGACATCTCGTTAAATACGCATAATCGTTAAAAAAGTTCATAACTTAAGTTACAAAGGGGGCCACGTGAACTTTAAACAAGCTATTCTTACCTAAGGTAGAGGAACATTGACAACCATGACTGCAGGGTAATTATATCTTGCAAAAAAATAAATTCAAGTGTACGTTAATGGCTTAACTAAATTGAAAGTTAGTCTGCTGTAAGGTTGAAAGTCAAAGAAACTAAATTGAAAGTTAGTCTGCTGTAAGGTTGAAAGTCAAAGAAACTTAACAGTTATAGTAAGTCCCTCCTTTGGCTATTGCATATAAAAATTATTTAATAAGTTGAAGAAGTAAAGGCCTGCATAAAGTAAGCTTTAACTTTTTTATATATGCTTTGATATAACATCATTTGTTTTAAAGCATAAGCTATCAGTATATTAATTTGCATCATACATATATTATTTGGCAGCAGCCAGCTACTGCTGCAATGGTTGAATTATTATAGGTATGCAGTCCTATCCATTAGAGTGTCGCATATATACCTTTGTTGTGCCCTGTAAGACCCCTTGCAACCAACTTCCTTGATCTCCTTTGCAGTTGATCTAACCATGACATTGAAAAACAAAACTAAATGTCATCCATGTATTGCTGTTGACAAGCACATTCATACGCATCTGGGTTACATTGACAATAAATTATTGAATAATTTGTGATCTTCTCTTCTAAAACAAATGTCTGTAATTCTGGCTTTATTTGCATGGCAGTAAATTGTTATCTTATTATTCTAGAGTTGCATTTTAGTGATGATTTCATTTTTATTTGTAGTGGTTAAGGTTTGGGCTTTCACTCTTGGTTATTGGTATCATGGTTGTCAATAATTTGATTGTTTTTTTTCTTTTGTTTTTTTTTTTTTTGGTATTTGATAGATGGTACCGGACATTGAGTGGGGGAAAAATGTTCATGTTGTCCTGGACATTGGTTGTACAGATCTGAGTTTTGGAGGTGCTCTCCTTGATAAGGAGGTTTTGACGTTATCACTAGGCTTAAAGGACGATCTGGTGGATCTAGCCCAGGTGGCCCTAGAGCGTGGTTTTCCTGCAGTGGTGACCCCTTTTGGTAGAAGGAGGCTTCCTTTTCCTGGTAATGTCTTTGATGCTATACATTGTGGGGGTTGCGGCATATCGTGGCATTCCAATGGTTTGTGTCCGACTTTTCTTGTATTTATTTGCAGAAAATATTATATGTGTATGTTATAGCTGATTTTCTTTCCTCTTTTTTAGGGGGTAGGCTTCTTTTAGAGATGAATCGGATACTAAGGCCTGGTGGATACTTTCTTCTGTCTACTAAGCACAACAGTATTGAAGAGGAAGAAGGTCTGCCCCATTCCAGAATGAAAATGGGCTTACATGTGAAATTTTGAAAGCTAACATATTTTTCTTTTTTCTACAAAGGCACTGTTTTGTTCTTGTGATCTCTTATAGAAGACCATCATTTTGGTTCATTATTTTCAGTTTCCAAATTTAACCATTTGACTCTTTAATTTTATGTGCAGAGTTACTTTATTTTAATTTGCTTTCATTTAATCCTTCTATGCAATGAAATTGTGGGAAAGAGTAATTGAGCGTAGGTTGAGATTGAAAATTGATATTTTTGAGAATTAGTTTGGCTTCATGCTAGGTAGGGCGACTACAGAAACAATTTATCTATTAAGGGGATTAATGAAAAAGTATCGATGCAAAGGTAAAAATTTATATATGGTTTTCATTGATTTGAAAAAAACTTATAATTGTGTATCGAGAAATGTACTTTAGAAAGTTTTGAAAAAGAAGGGTGTCCGAGTTGCCTATATTAGAGCTTTATAAGATATGTATGAGGGGGCAATAATTAGTATAAGAATGTCTTGCGTTGAAACAAAAGATTTTTTTTATAAAGATTGGATTGCATCAAGGATCATCTTTGAGTCCTTATTTGTTTGATTTAGACTTGAATGTTCTAACTGGGCATATTCAAGAGGGAATCTCCAAATGTATGCTTTTCGTAGATGATATAGTTTTTATTGCGGAGACAAAAGAAGAGATTAATGGTAAATTTGAGTTATGGAGGAGGATGTTGGAGTCAAAGGTTTCCACCTGAGTAGGAGTAAGACGGAATATTTACATTGGAATTTTAATAAGAGGTCAGTGAGTAGTAATTTGGCAGTGAAATTGAGTGATCAGATTATACCTTAAGTGGAAAAGTTTAGATATTTGAAAGTTATTATTAAATATAATGGGAAAATTAATGGAGATATTGCACATAAGATACAAGTTGGGTGATTTAATTAGAGAAAGGTTAAAGGAGTTATTTATGATCGTGAGATACCTAATCCTAATAAATTTAAAGAGAAATTTTATTGAATTGCTATACGATCAGCAATATTATATGATAATGGATGTTGGGTTTTAACGGGACAGTAAGAGCATAAAGTTGGAGTAGTAGAAATGAAAATGTTAAAATGGATGTGTGGACATACACGTAAAGACAAAATCTGAAATGAGCACATACGAGAAAAATTAGGCATTACACCTATTAAAGGAAAAATGATAGAAAATCGTTTGAGAGGGTTTAGACATGTTTAAAGAAGACCATGGGAAGCACCTGTGAGGAGAGTGGAGCAAATAACTTTGAGCCCTGTTAAAAGGAGTAGAAGAAGGTTAAAGAGAACAATTTTAGAAGTTGTTGATCGAGACCTTTTAATTAATAATATTTCTAAAAGCTTGATAAATGATAGAGCATACTGACGTCATGTAATTTATGTAGTTGACTCCATCTAATAGGATAAGGTTTCTTGTTGTTGTTAATCTTTCTGTACATTGATGAAGTGTATGATTATCTTATCTAAAGCATTGAGGGATACAACAGAAAGAAATTGAGATGGCATGCATATTTTGAGTACCAAAACAGTAGTTTTCTTCTTTTTATTCTTTATGTGCCTTTTTTTTCTGAATAAAATATATGCGCAGATTTTCTTGGAAGAAAAATTCTGTGGTAATGGTACTCCCATTTTGTGTGTTTTGCTTTTCTTTTTATTCTCACACATCTTATTTTCCCTTCCTTGAACAAAACTCAAGATTCACCAGCTTATCATCTGCAGGTTCTGACGTGATGCAATAGTATATACCCTGCTGATATTCTTTGTAGGAATGCAGTTAGCTTCCACCCTTTGTATATAATAATAGGTCTTAGATGCATATTGCATTTTCAAAAGGAAATATTGAAACGCATCAAGGGATTGATGAATGCTTCGTGTTGATTTTAACCTCATCCTTCTTCTTTGCTTTGCAATGCATTAGAAGTGATAAGGACTCTTGTCTATTCCAGGATTGACAAAATTGATGGCATCTATTTGTTGGAATGTTCTGGCTCATAAAAGTGATGATGTTGGTGAAGTTGGCGTTAGAGTATATCAGAAGCCTGAAGCAAATGACATATACGAATTGAGGAGGAAAAAGATCCCCCAACTTTGCAAAGAAAATGAAAATCCTGATGCAGCCTGGTATGCTGCTGTGATGTTATTTTGCAGAATTATTCCCCCAATAATACAATAATATGAATTGGCGCTTTAGTTTGTACAGTATATGCCTGATCGTTTTCAGATGGAAAAGGTTATTTACCTTTAGACTGGGAACGTGGTTTTCATTGTTGCTGTGGGTAGCCAAGCGCTAGCCGCTCCTTAGATGAATGGCCAGGCCTGATTGTAATCAGCTTAAGCTTTCTTACTAATTGACGGTGTTTGTATATTCGTTGGAACAGGTATATTCCAATGAAGTCTTGTTTGCACTCAATTCCATCCGGGATTGAACAACATGGGGCAGAGTGGCCTGAGGAATGGCCCAAGAGGCTTGAATCTTATCCTGACTGGATGAACAATAAAGAAAAGATGGTCGCGGACACCAGCCACTGGAAAGCTGTGGTTAACAAGTCATATCTCAACGGAATGGGCATTGACTGGTCAAGTATCAGGAATGTAATGGACATGAAAGCCATCTATGGAGGGTAAGTCTTTGAGCTTAGACAACATGGGTGAGTGAGCGGTTGCATCAAAAAAATGTTTGTATACTTATATCTATATAGTACAGGCGACTTCTGCCTGTTGAAAGCAGAGATTTCCTATTTATGGTCGGAAATGTTTTGTAAAAATACAGATTGGCCGCAGCTCTCTCTGAGCAGAAGGTGTGGGTAATGAATGTAGTCCCTGTCCATGCACCAGATACACTGCCCATCATCTTTGAACGTGGCTTTGTTGGCATCTATCATGATTGGTGCGAGTCATTTGGCACTTATCCAAGAACATATGATCTTTTGCATGCTGACCACTTGTTCTCACGCCTCAAGAACAGGTGAAAAAGTGGACACTTTCTTACAACCTTGTTTATGTCTTGTCCTTGAATTTCAAGACTTTTGAGAATCATGATTCATGCTTTGGCTTGTTTGACATGTTATTCTGCAGGTGTAAGCAGCCAGTATCCATTATTATTGAGATGGACCGTATATTACGGCCTGGAGGTTGGATGATCATGCGTGACAAAGTTGAAATTCTAAATCCAATCGAAGATATATTAAGAAGCCTTCAATGGAAGATCGTTATGACTTTCGCTCAAGATAAGGAAGGAATCGTATGTGCCCAGAAAACATTGTGGAGGCCTTAATTCTTTCTTTATTTCCCATTTGCTTTTGCTAGAGCGCCAGCGAATGCAACTATATGATATTAAGGAATTTTGATCCTTAATCTTGTGTGAAAGTTGACTTTTTTTGTTCCTCCTTGTGGCTGTTATTTGATGTCCAGCCAGCATTGTATATTAGATGAGGATGAGCAACTTTCTTTGTTTGTGAGTCATAAAGTCATAGCATATTTTTTTTAAAAAAAAAAAAACACAACACTCTTGTTTACTAGTTTCAATTTATTTATTGCGTGCAATGCAATTATTTTTACTTATTTTATTTCAATTCTTTGCGAAGTTTGAGATTTCATTTGTGACGAAACCAGGAAATGATGTTCGTGTCCGCATGCATGCTGTATACCCAGACAATGTTATTATTACCATCAAATAAACAAAACCAAAATTGACATGGGTGTGATAGTCTACTCATGTACTTTTTTTTATTTTTAAAATATTTGTGGTATTAAATTGATTTTTGCATTGCAGATTTAAATTCTTTGAAGTTGAGATTTGTAAATTTCAGTGAAGTTTCCCTATTTTAATATTTTTTTTATTGTTTTATTATTTTTTTATAAAAGATAAAATATTCCCTCCCTTTCTTTAAAAGGCAAATTTCATAGGACTTCTCATATTTTAATTTCAAAGGATTTAAGTCCATTGCAGTACATGTATGAATGAGCATGCCTAAATTTATGGGCAACGTGTAAAAGTAAGAAAAGTAGAGTTAGTTGACAGTTCACCTTTATTTTTGGCCAACAATTCACATTGATTTAGCTTTCAGTATATTATTAGGTAAATAGATAAACATTAGATAGTACAAAAATATACGATATATAGTTAACACCAAAGGAATTTTTCATTCAGGAATATCTTTTTTTTGCCCAATTCATTCAAGAATATCGACTAGTCCATAAATGTACTACTTATTTATGAACGTCCAATAAATTATAAGCAAGTAAGCAACAAGGGTATAAAAAATTAAAAATTTATTCATACGCACAGTACATATGAATGATTAACTTTTAAAAATTTAATTATTGAATTTTATTTCATAGAAATATTAAACATCCATGTCACTATATCATTTAAAATGGATTTGGATTCTATGCATGTCGCTACTGCGTACTTACGTCAGGCGCATGTCAGGACGTGGGAAGAAAAGAGCTGTGGATGTCATCAAAAATGTTCGATTCATTTAAGCTATGACCCATCAATGAAACAACGAGTATTAATAGCAGTGGACGAAATGTATTACAGGAACCTGAACCCTCATTCCTCAACGAAGAATTGCCGAGAACTTGAATAATGATCGGAACCCCAAGCCAATGCTGCAATGGACGCGGGTACCTGTAGAACTGGATCGAGTTTCGAATTCCCTCGCTTTCTCGACATTCACATCTCGGTTGAGATTTGACTCTAAAATTTGAAACCATCTTCCCGTTGATTTGCTTCTCACTCCACCACGTCTTCGACGTTGAACCAAGACTCTCACCCTCGTCAAATGTAGAATGTTTCTCATCATCGATTAACTGTGATCGCGTGGTTCTCACTCTCTCATCTCACAGCTTAACGAGGAAGACAGAAAACACAGAGGAGGATTCAATATTTTTTGACCATGGTTAAACAAATTTTTTTAAAGCTGTTAATCACATCCCTGAATTCTCTTCTCCCCACGTCAGGACATGCACGTAGTTCGAGTATTAACAACAACCATGGAATCTAAATCCCTTCTAAAATGCGTTAATTTTTTTTTTTTTGGTGGTCTACAAAATACCTCGTCATTATTATTATTATTATTGGTACATACCACGTTGTTAATTAACCAAACTAGTGGTCTTCAAAACCAGAACTTTTCTTTTTTGGTAAAATCAGTTTCATCTAGATAATTACTTCTAGATCGAAGCCCAATAAGATATTCTACTCTCCAGGGCCGGAGCCCAATGTTAAGGGAACAAGGCTTACAGGCCCAGGGATTTTAGGAACAAGGCTCACTCCAGGGCTTCCATCGTCGACCCTCCCTAGTTTGGCCCAAAAAAGAATAGAAACTCGGCGTCCCTCCCTTCTCCGCGACTGCGAATCGCTCTTCATTGAGTGAAAGTCGCAACCTTCATTGATGATCATGCTTAGTTACTCTCTCTAGAACTAGACAACAAGTAGAGCAAGAGAAGTCAATCATGCCGTTGTCTTCAGTCCCAGCTCGTCTTACGCTTCTCGCACTTTTCTCTGCCACTACTTTCTATTGTTTATACAAATCTCGCCGCCTCAGACTCTTTAAATTTCCCCTATATCATAGACCCACTCTTCCCAATTCCAGAGGGAAGATTCTCTTCGTTTCTCAAACAGGTACTTCTAAATCCCTTGCTCAGCGTCTTCACCAGCTGTTGGCGGCCAACGATCTCGCGTTCGACCTCGTCGACCCCAAGGACTACGAGCCTGAAGACCTTCCTAAAGAAACTCTAGTCATCATCGTAGCTTCGACCTGGGAAGATGGAAAACCACCTCCCAGTGCCAAATTCTTTGCAACTTGGCTTGCTGAAAGTGCCAAGGATTTTAGGGTGGGCTCTTTGTTGCTTTCAAGGTGCAAATTTTCTATATTCGGCGTTGGGAGCCGAGCTTATGGAGCCACTTTCAATGCGGTTGCATGGGATTTGGCAAAGCAGATGAGGGCGTTGGGGGCGACGGAGATGCTTCCATTGTGTGAAGGAGATGTCGACATAGGCGATATAGATGGGGTTTTTGATCTTTGGTGTGCTAAGGTGGTTAGGATTTTGAAGGGTGCTGGTTTAGAAAACGGCAGGGTTTTTGAGTCCAGTGTCGTTGGGGAATCCAATGCTCAACGCCTTGAGGATTCCGACGAAGAGAACGATGCGGAGTCGGAGATTGTTGATCTAGAGGACATTGCGGGGAAAGCTCCTTCGAGGAAGTCAGTGCCAGTGGTTGAAGCTTATGGGAATTTGGACGGCAAAAGAGAAATGGTGACTCCAGTCATCAGAGCAAACTTGGAAAAGCAGGTATACTTATACTGTGGTTTTGTATTTTGTTTCCAGAATCTTTTCTTGGTAGTTGGCACTTTCAAATTTCACTTCTACTGGTGAGTTGCGTTCAATACTAATTGTCAGCGACGTTTAATCGCCTACAAGTATTCCTAGACGATGCCTAAAATAATGAGAGGAAGTAACATAAAACTTGTTTGCTGTGCTATTATCACCGTTTGTGATTTGTTTCAATTATATAACAAAGAAAGTAGTTAGTAAGTAAATGCATGTAGAACATAGTAGGCATTTGTAAACTGCACAGGAATATTTCTAAGTTTTGTTTTTCATCTATAGTCATTCCATTCAAATGCCTGCGGAGGAGATTCACTTTTGTGTCACCTTATTTACAGTATACGGAAACCCCTGCTTAGGGACTAGGGTCTAGGGTCTAGTCGACTAGTCGCATCCTAGAATCCTAGAATAATATTATAACAGGACATAAACTTGTATTATTCTTATATTTACTAAATTATACTCTCTGTAAGTGGATAAGCAGGCCATTCCTTGGGCCTTTGCCCTCTGGTATTCAAAAATTTCATAGATTTCTGTTTCTTTAACTACCCGTTCATGTTTACTGTCTGTTTAACTTGCTGTGATATAATATAGGCTAATTTCCTTCTTGGACTTGTACGAATAGCTTATATGAATAGTCATGGTTTACTATTGAATATGACTGCTTCTGTTCTTAATCGGCGTTCTTCAAACAATATCAATGTGCAGGGATACAAAATTATTGGTTCACACAGTGGTGTTAAAATTTGTAGATGGACAAAGTCACAACTTCGAGGCCGAGGTGGTTGCTACAAGCATTCATTTTATGGCATAGAGAGTCATAGGTAATCATAATCCATTTTGGTAATGATTTGCATTCTTTTTTTTTTTTTTGTTTTTTTTAAGGTTCCGTACATGTTCCACACTCCCATTTTATAGATTATGTTTTGAATATAGTTAAATCCATTAGCTTTGTTGCATGTCTGTGTGGAGTTTTATTTTTCTATTTGAGGGGGAAGGGCTTTTTGCACAATTTCTTCAGCTGGCATAGTTGTTTGATGAGTAGGAGTATCTTTTCTTTCTTTCTTTTTCTTAGTGGATTTTTGGGAAAGTATCAATGGAAGTAAGTTTCAATATTGTACTCTATTAATGGATGAAGGTTCAGGAACCCTCTTGATGCAGTGACGCATTATTTGTGGTATTTGATGGGAAAAAACAAAAAAGGAAGGAAAGAAGGAAGACATACTGTTGTCTGCTTTAGCTTTTTTTTTTTTTTTTTAAACTTGGCCATGGGTTTGGACATTTGATTGAGTTTCTGATGCAGTCAAAGGTTGCATATTTTGTATTTATGTCCTTTTAATGTATCTTCTGTTTGATTCTTTGAACATTAAAGTTCAGCTGCCAATTTAAGTGTCAAATGTTTGGCTGATATACTTATAGGTGCATGGAGGCAACCCCTAGTTTGGCATGTGCAAATAAATGTGTTTTCTGCTGGAGACATCACACAAATCCAGTAGGGAAAAGTTGGCAGTGGAAGATGGATGATCCAATAGAAATTGTAAATTCTGCGATAGATCTACATACAAATATGATTAAGCAAATGAAAGGAGTCCCAGGTAAATTCATTTGTTCTATTCTATAAGCATTTTAAAATATCAGGCTGCTCTCGAGAGTGATCTATCTACATATGCTAATGATGATGCAGCCAATGTAGCTATTGATAATTCCACACTTTATTGGTCACCATCTTCTGTATGAAAATATCAAGGTAGACTTAAGTTATGATCACACCTTGTATTTTTTTTAAAAAAACATATCTTTCATATCAATTATTTGATTGAGTAGTTATTTTAGCATCTGGATCTGTCTTAAATCTGTACTGTATATTTTAATATCTCCCTATGCGGGTGTTGTATGGTGACAATATGGGGCTCTATACATTGCCTAATGTTCTATCCAAGTATATTAACACTCGTAGTAGGGTGTTGGCATTTTCCATGATTGATTAGTCTGATGTAAACTGCCTGACTGATGGCTTTTCCCAAGCAAGGAAGCACAGATACGCCGATTTTGGTGGCATATCCGTGTCCGATACGTATCGGACACAGAAACTCGCTCCGTGCAAGTACGTCCGTGTCCAACACGTTTTTTTTTTTTGGGCGACATGGCGAGACACGGCGGGATACGGCTTTGACGCGGCGAACACGGCTGCTACACAAGACGCTGCATTTTGTGTAAAAAATTTAACTAAATCCTTAATTCGCAAACCATTCAGCAGTTCGAACGTTTTCGGATCCTGCAATCTCTCCCCAGTCTCGTTTGTCGCTCTCGTCCCTGTCCGTGCTTTCTTGTTTGTGCCGTCGTGAACCCATCCATTCTCAACTCGCAAGTCGCGTCTTGTTCTGTCTTCTGTGGTTGCTCAGCTCGTCGGTCCAGTCGAGGTTCTCGACTTCTCGTCCTTCACTCGTCTCGTCTTCTCTCTTCTCTGCCTTCTTGAGTTTTGTTTCAATATCTCACTCGTCTTCTCTGCCGACTGTGATAGCATGAAACTGAAGCATATTTATTATTTTATTATGTTGTTGCTTTTTTTAAAAGTTTGATTATTATTTATGTTATTCATTTAATATCTTGCTCTCCATATGCACAGAACCTGTTGCTCTCTGTTTATTTTAAACTTAGTTTGAGTATAATTCTCAATGGTTCTGGTCCTGTCTTATTTTAATTTATGTTTTTTTCTTTTTTTTTAATTAGATATGGCTGCAACTAATAATTTTGAGGGAAGTATTAATTCAACAGCCCGTAAATCTTTTATGAATGAGCTACAAAAAGAATGTCACTGTGGTTATTTTGTATTTGGTTGAATTGTATGCATTTTTAATAGTTGAATTATTGTTTATATTTATATAAAATTTTTTATATATCCCCGTACTCGTATCCTAAAATTTTTAAAATTTGCCGTATCGCCTTATCATGCCGTATCGTATCCGATACTCGTACCCGTATCTGTGCAACCTAGTTCCCAACATATTTCTCAGTGTAATTGGTATTCTGGATCCAAAAATATTTACAGAGTAAAACATTCGGCTTTGTGTCTTCATAATTCCTTAAGTTGTTCCTAAAATTATTAACATATAACTGGCATTTAGTATATAGTCTTCTACAAAGGAAAGATGAAGTGCATAACCCAGTTATGGTCCCATTCCAACTGATGCAGAGTACTGAGAGCACTAGGCCTTCTACATCCCCACCATTTGACTTGTTATTGCATGATTTAATTACAAAATTGGTCTATTCATAACCAAGAAACATCTTTTCTTTAGGAGTCACCTTGGAGCGGTTATCTGAAGGCCTCTCTCCTTGCCATTGTGCATTGTCACTTGTTGGAGAACCTATCATGTATCCAGAGATAAACTCGCTAGTAGATGAGCTACATAGTCGGCGGATTTCTACATTTCTAGTGACAAATGCACAGTTTCCAGAGAAGATTAAGTTATTGAAGCCTGTCACCCAGGTTTCTGGGCTTTAATTGCTTTCAAAATAAAAAATATGCTGGTGTTGTTAAAGGTGAACTTAATTAAGCTTGTTTTGGCACTTTGCAGTTGTATGTGAGTGTAGATGCTGCTACAAAGGATGCTTTGAAGGCAATAGATAGACCACTTTTTGGAGATTTCTGGGAGCGATTCATTGTTAGTTCTTTCTAACATTTATTACGCAGTACCCTCTACTTCCCAGTGTGAAGAGTCTAAACTAATCTGAAGTGCAATTAGATTACTGTGTAAACATCATACGGGGCCCAAACTGTACATATTAAGTGTTATTTTAAAATTGAAGTAAAATATGAATCTACTGACAATCTAAAGAGCAACTTATTATGAATTGGTTTTTCTTAATTGTGTGAGAGCTCTCTTGGATTCAAGATCTTTTAGGATCGTTTTCTCTGTGATTGTCATCTTTATAATTTCCTGTATTTCAGTTTATCTTTCACCTTCCTGATGACTATCTTGTTTGAAAAACTGTGACAGGATTCATTGACTGCTTTAAACGAGAAAGAGCAGCGAACTGTTTATCGTTTGACCCTGGTGAAAGGTTGGAACACGGATGATGTGGATGCTTATTCTAAGCTCTTTGGTATGGGAAAACCTGACTTTGTAGAAATCAAGGGAGTAACGTATTGTGGCTCGTAAGTTCCTCTTATATTTTTATTAGCCCACTAGCTTCTTTATCTGTGACTTTGTTGCTGAATGACAAATACTGAAATATTCACAGGTCCGCTACATCAAAATTGACCATGGAAAATGTACCCTGGCACGCTGATGTAAAAGCTTTCTCAGAGGCATTGGCTTTGAAAAGCCAAGGGGAGTATGAAGTTGCGTGTGAGCATGCTCACTCATGTTGTGTCCTCTTGGCGAAAACTGAGAAATTCAAGGTTGATGGCCAATGGTACACATGGATAGACTATGAGAAATTTCATGACCTGGTGGGTGTTGTGGACTATATTTGGTTTGAATTATAAGTTGGTTTGCAAAATTATTTTTTTTTTTCCCTCATTTAAAATGCAGGTGGCTTCTGGGAGAAGTTTTGACAGCAGAGATTACATGGCTGCCACGCCATCCTGGGCTGTCTATGGAGCAGAGGAAGTTGGATTTGACCCTGGACAATTGAGATATAGGAAAGAGCGACATCATAAATCAAGCCAATGATCAATCAGGTCAGAAATACAAGAAACATGGGCCTGCAACCTCTGTTTCCTACCTTTGTTTCTTTCTCTGTTTTCTCCCTGAGGTTCATTATCAACCTTAGTAGGTTATACTAGAGGACATTGTCTCAATCCATGGCTTTACACTTAGGATCAACTATTGCAATGTAATTTAACCCCTCCAGCCTTTCTGGTTTTCCCTATTCAAGGGAGTTGAAGACAGCACTTCATACTTCCTAGTTCTTCAATTACCATAAAGATCATGGTGGTGAACATTTTTGTTCCGGAATTTGGAAGCATGCCTTGTCTCAACGCGAAGTTCCATTGGTGGGTGCAAGGGACAGTAATTCCTTAAAAATTGAGATGTATAATATTTTATTGTATTTCGTTTATCATTATTCAACAATCAACAGTAGCTGTCCTTTTTATTCTTTTTTTAGGAATAGGCGAAAGAGATCTTGTTATCATTGCTCAGTAATTAGCATCTCGAAGGTTGGGGTTCTCACAGCACAGAAGAATATTGGACATCCTTAACCCTGGCGGATTTAGAACAAATGGCTTAACCAATTCAACTGGAAAACATACCTTTAGGTTCCAACACTTTACTTGCATTTTGCTATTAGTCCCTGTACTTATTTTTGGGTATTTTAAGTTCCTACAGTTTTATTTTTCATTGTTTTTAATCCTTCCATAATCAAAGTATAGGGATCTTAGAGGGGTTTAAAAATGTAAGAACCTAAAATACTGGAAAAAAAAAAGTGCAAGAACCAATAGTAAAATGTAAAAATTCGAAGTTATGTTTTTTCCAATTCAACCTAGGTGTTGAGGTTTTCATCTACTTGTTATAAATGAAATTTTTGTCATTTTCATTTCGTATAGACAATAATTTTAATTTTTCTGTACATTGACAGCTCAAATTTTGTCTTATCATGCATCGAATTTGTAGTGATATTGGGTTTTGCATTTATATCAGAATTGTTATCTGATTCAAACATTTTTCTCTAATTCAGAAGGTTGGCATGTAATTGGTGTATATTCCTGGAAGTTGTTTTTCTGTCCAGCAATGAATGTGGTCGCTTAGTCGTACCCCCCTCATATGCAATTGTTTTTTTTTTTTTTTTGGGGGGGGTTGGGGTTTCTGATTTCCCATTATACTGAAACATTGTTCCACAGCGCGCTAACTATGTTATGGCTATTAATACTTGCTAGTTCCTTCCATATCCATCCACTGGTCAACTTTGCATTTTAGCTGGACGACAAACTTTGGACCACCATAGAGACCTCCTGTTTCTACTTCGATCACACATCTAACTGATCAACGCAAGAACCATGGTTTACTTCTATAGTTGCAGCTTTTTAATAATTTGCTGTAGCCATCATAGTTATCATCCAGGAAACCAGTAAACTTCTGCCTGTGATGTTCATACTTCATATTAAAGGTTTGAACAAGTCATTCAGACTTGAGAGGCTTAAATTGGAGAAAGTATCTGAGATTTGGATGTCAGTATAGGAAATGCAGTTTTTAGGAAAACGGGAGAGGTGAGAGGCGAGACAGGAGGCAGGAACAGCCTTAGAATCGGAGTGGTTACTGTGTAGAGGGTACTGAGTTGAGAATACCCAAAAAACTCAGAAATAAAGGGGCAACTTGTCGACCACGGTCAAGTTGGGATCCGCTTCTGACCCACCAGTCAAAGCGCATGTTTCTAGCGCGTCAGTGAGGACCCACTCTTGCTTCATGCTTCCATCCCACCCTGTCAAAGCTGGTTTCACTCCTTTCACCCGGGGGGAAAAGAAACAGCCGATTTCACTCTCGCCCTATGATATACTCAAAACTCCTGTCATCCTTGTTTCACATGGACTTCGATATTTTTAACTAGTTTACAGGCATTAAAAAATAGGTAAGAGTGGTTGGTTTGTATCTATAAAATGATAAAAATTGACAATTTTTAAAATTATTTTTAATTAAATCTTATTCTAATTATTTTTTATTTCTTTCTTATATAATCTCTCTATAGTACAGTTAATAACAAATTTTGTGAAAAGAAAAATTTAATGCAATTGATTATTTATAAAATATCTTGTATTTTGGATCAACACTGGTTGGTAGAAAATGTTGTGTTGTTCGAATGGGATGGGGTATTAATTTTTTTACTCCATCCCACCACAAATTTTATTTCAGTAATTTTTTTTCCTTTCTTCCCGAGTTTTCGTTTTGCCAACTTTTTGAAGTACAGATGTTTAATATTTTGTTATCCATGCTTCTCAATTGTTAGGCTTTATGCAATTTGTTTAATGTCGTATTTGGCCAAATCTAAAGGTATTTATTTAAAAAAAAAAATCTTTGTGATGTAAGAAGAAAACAGAAAATTGGAAGTTACTATCGCTCAAATCATTTCCCAGATTATTTTAATGAACATCTGACTTGTTCAATGTATACATACCTTTTCAGTAATCCATGTCCAGCAAGGTTAAACAGACTTAATTTCTTGTGTTCATGACTTTCTGTTTATCACACTTCAATTGTAATTCTAAACCATTTAAATCAAATTGCAATTATATAAATTAGTTTATATTTTTAAAAATTATGATATCAAAATTATCTAATTCAATTAAACAATTCAAAAATGCAGGGATCCCCCAGAAGTCATTTGAGCCTGATGAGGGTATACGTGAATAATGAAATTTTCTTAAAATGGTCTTACTTATAGTTTTTAAAATCAACTAATAATAATGGCATATGAACTGTAAGTGACACAAGTTAAAGGAAAGGGGGAAAATTCACTACTTAAATATAGAATCGATCATTTGTGTCCAGGTGTTACGTTACCTCTAATAAATTGAGAATTGAAAAAAGAAAATTGTTCCACGTAAATTGGCATGGAGTATAATCAATAATCAATATCAATAATTAATTAATTTTGCATTTCTTAAGACGAGTGTGTAATTCTGACGGGGGCGATTACGAATTTACGATCACACGTAAAACAAAGGAAGCCTCTCATGTGAAAGGTGGGCATGATGAGTAAAGACAATCCCTCGGCAAGCCGCTCAACAAGCACGTGGACTTCACCTTCAACGTAAGGCTCATTAGATGGAAGAATCGGGATCATTGATTGGTCCTGCGAGGCGGCTACCATGTTCTAGAGTGGAGCGTGGACTTCAACCGCCTCGATGCTTCAACCCGCACACAACTTCTCAGCACACAGCCCATAGCCGAAATTTCCAGATTCAGACCCACTGGCATCAACCCACCTAAATATCCATCCTATTTTTTTCTATCCCTATCGTCTCTCTCAGATTACCCGCTGTGTTTTCTTTTTTCTGAAACTCTTAATTCTCATCCTCTTCGCAATGATTGAAATCACAGGGCAAAAAAAAAAAAAAAAATCTTTCTTCATATCATCCTACATCCAGGTACGGAGGAATAAACAGGAATTGAGGAAAAAAATCCATTTACCACGCGCAACGTAACAGTGGCAAGCAATCAGATTGAGAGAATCGTGATAGCAGAAAATATCAACATGATAACACACAACTGCTACTTTCAGCAGCAAATTAACACAGACTAGTAATCTTATCTTTCTTTCTGCCCGCGTTCGGATAACAAATACGATTAAACTCATGAGCTATCACGCACGCAAAGTGATTTCTTTGATACCTGCGCTTCCTGAAACTTGTCATTTTTTTCCAATACCAATCGTTGAAAACCCAAGGCCAACCAAGAAACACAATAACTGTTCCTTTTTTTTTTTTTTCAATAGAAGGAAGGAAAGGAGGATGATTGTGAGTAGTGGTATTAACTGCTCTTTCTGGGTTTGCTTTTCCGCCTAGCTCTGCTTCTCGAAGGCTCGCTTTTTGGGTCCTTTGAGAACTGTGTGCATGCCGATGATGATCCCTCTTGCTGCTGCGCATAACGTTGTTGCTGTTCCTGTTCTTCTCCCACGCCGATTTTGCCTTTCTTCGACGAGCTTTCTGAAACTTCAGCTCTACTTCCTGCTTGTTCTACAATTTCTTCTTTGCTTATTTCAGTTTTCTCGGTGATCTTCCGAGGCCTACCTCTTTTTCGAGGGGTCTGAGGTTGATTTTGTTGCTGAGTCTGAGGCTGCTGGGTGTCATCTCCCGTCGACGAAGCTTCAGCTATTGCTACCGATAGTTCTTTCGTTTTTTGTGGCTTTTTCTTACCCATAACCATAAATTTTTTCTCTCTTATCAATAACACGCCCAAAGCTCCAATATTTCTATGCCCCACTCGCTATTTCTGATTCCTAGATCATCAGTCTTCTAATATCATCAAAATCAAATCCGTAACACCAGAGTCCCTCTATAGATTCCAAAAAACTAAGAAAAAGAAAGCAAAGGAAAGAAGCGCGGCAATACAGCAGATATTTCTTTTCGCAAAACCCTCGGTGTTTCCTCTCTCTCTCTCTCTCTCATACGCCCCCTCCCCCCAACTCAAGAAGCAAAAAGCAAGAAGACCAAAATCTTTGACCAGAATCCAGGGTCGGGGAGCGACGCTATTAATTAAAGCAGCCCCCCGGTCTCATCTATATAGCATAAAATGACATAATAAGCAATAAATACAGGCTTTCAATTTCATTGGAGCACAAATAGAATAAACAATTCCTAAAAGCTCAGAAGCTATCTTTCCTTTTCTTTTTGTATGTTCATTCCACCCATTCTCATATACACACAAGTATCATAACGCTTCAAAATAGATTTAGAAAAGAGACGTAGCTAACCTACCCAGGGGAGTGGGTGTGTGGGTGATAGCGATTAGTGAGAGAGCAAAGCATCGAGGAGAAGACTGCCACAAAGAAATATATGGAAGAAGAAGAAGAAAATAAAGCAGGGAGCAGTAACCATGGTTAAGAGTATGTGTAGTGGACCAAGGTGGGCGATGTGAAAAGGGCATGTGGGTATTTTAGGAGGAGGAAGGGGTAAGGTTTGGTGTATTGTAGCAGTCAGACTCAGACTGACCTTTTATGTCGCTTCCCGGGTTTCGCGTCCCTCTCTCGCTGTCACTGTTTTAAAAATTGGACCGACCGGTCGGACCGTCGATCAGTCTAGTTTTCAGTTTGATTTAAAGAAAAAAATTATTTTAAAAGTTGAGCCGGGTTGAGCCGTTTCGAACTGACGGTAGGATCAAAAACTGGGGGTCGGATCGAGAATCGGATCCGATTTTTGGACTGTTCAAAAAAAATTTTATTTTTTATCAAATTTTTTTTAAAAAAATGACTAATTTTTTTAATCGCTTGATATTATATTGTATCGTATGGCTTGTTAAGTCGTGATAAACTTAAAATATTTAATTTTTTAAAGTTAAATAGCAATTTTATATGTATTTCTTATATTTAAATTATTATATACATATATAATTTTTTTTAATTTAATTATTACGTCACCGGTTAGACCATGCGAATCGTGAACTGCTGACTTTTCCAGTTCAATGTCCGATCCAGTTCTGAAAACATTGCTCGTTGCCTTAACCTTTAATTCACAGGGTCCCTCCCTCCTGCGGAGATCACACTACTGTACCTCTGCTTCTTCGGCTTCACCTCCATACAACCATGCTATATTATTCTCATTACTCGCAATCATCAAAATCAAGTCATTCTCGGGTCTAATACAATATGGATTACGGAGATGCTCGTCTCTTGCCTTTCTGTGGGAATTCCGTGATTGCATTTGGACCACACGCCTTCCTTCAATTCTCAGTGCCCTGTAAATTTGTCCATGTTGTCTTCTTCCGCTCCTATTTGGAGAACCAACAGTTACACAACAGACCAGCTTATGGTTTGGTATAGTGCCGGGTGGGTCATCCCCCCACCCCTTCCAAAAGGCCCCTACCTCAAGCTGTCCATTTCTTATGTGCGCAATTAATAAACATTGCTGTGTGCTCTGCGATCGCTCGTGGGGTGACCATAATAATAATGATAATAATATCATTATTATTTATTGCAGGAGATTTGGTGCCCATGAGCTCTTCTAAATAATTCGCTTCCTCAGCTCATGAACTATATTATTTTAAATGCAGGCAGCTAGAGCGCGTTGTTTGGAATAGTCAGCAGACAAGAGAAGAACTTTTCTATGCATTATTCTTTTTAGCGGATGATATGCTTTTGAAGACTTGAGATGCAAGTTTTGTAATAGGTTACATATGTATTATATAGTCATGAAATGTCAAGGGGCATATAGAAAACGCAGGTTTATTGGTTGCGCGACAAAAGACAATATCTTAATAGAATATGTGAAGGGGAAAGTTAGTCCGTCCGAGGGAGGACCACCAAATAAATGAGTCAATAATGATAAGGCTTGGTTTGCCCTAGAAAGTTAAAAGCACGTCGAAATGATATTGTTTCTGGGATCTAGCCATGCGTAAATAATTCTCGGAGCCTAAACCCACACAGGAGCCTGTAGTGCTTCTGAACCTATAATCCAAACTAACATGTCGCTCAAACATCTACGAGGAAATTGATGTTAACTATTATTTAAACGTAATATGAGTGGAGGATTAGTCCGGACTTGTGATGACAATTTGGTAAGTGAAAATCAAACACAGTGATCTTCTTCTTGTCTGTCTCCCGCTCTCTCTCTTCTTTCCATTACCATATATAGTAATCCATCCATTATTGAGTTAATTATTTCAGGATGTGTTGGGTTGCTACCTAAAAATATATAACTCTAATAAACCACCATATTCCAAACTTGTTCATTAAAATTTAAGTAAGGAGAATTAACACGACAACTTGTCTGTAAGGAGTCGAATTATAACTTCTGATGATCAGAGGACAACATCCCGCTTCCATGAACGAGCCACGCCATTGTCACCGCACCGCGAATTCGGTGACAAACAGAAAAAGAAAAGAAGAGAATAAAATATAATTTGTTTGGAGAATGTTGAAAAAACTTGCATAGATAATTGCATTCATTTTTTTTTTTTTACAAATGTTCTTATTAAATGAATTGTATGAAGGGAATAATAAAAGAAAGGGATTAAGAGTAATTAAAATAAATTAATTTTAATTAAAAGATAATATTGGAAAATAGTCATAATTTTTATCATTTTAATGATATAAATTACTTTTAATCATCTCTCTTATTTTATTATTTTTAAAAAATAATTAAAATTAAAAGTTGTTTATAAAACAAAAGGACGGCATAGAAAAGAGAGGCTCCGCCGCCGGAGCTGGAGGGACCAGGATGATAATGGAGGATGTGGGAACTTGAGGTGGGTCCAGTTTATCCTGGCCCTAGATGCGAATCCCAGAAAATCTTGTACCGTCCGGACGGTGTTGAATCTGGTGCGAAGGGAACACTCTCCTCTGATAACGCCTCCGCCGGCTTGAGGCTGACACGTATGGTGCAAGGAGCCGGAGGTACCGAGGCAGTACGTAACGGGGAGCGTGGTCAAATATTATTTATGGGGCAAGCGAGAAATTGCAAGGTAGGCTCCATTCAGCCCAACTTCAATTATGACGCCTTTCGCTCCCCGACAACCTTCGTCTTCGTGGGTTCGACGCACATCATTTTATTTCACAAATCCCTTCACCTCCTATTCTCACCGCCCCTGAATCCTTTTAAACTTTTGTAAAGTACAAGCATTTGTTCTTGATTTACAATTTAGTATATATAAAATTTTTTATCTTATTTTTGTACTTATTAACCTAAATATTTAAGTAAATATATGTCTTATTTATTCATTATAAAGTGTGTTGATAATTAAAATTAAGAGAAGAAAATAATATATATTTTTATGAAAATGCCAACTTCATTAGTATGCAAATTTTTTAAAAAAATTGTCTATATTTTAGATCAAAAGAACTATAATAGTATTATATATATTTTATCCACTGTTATATATAAAATATTTTTAATCAAATCTCATGTATTAATAAAAGTTTATTATTTGATTTTTCCGGCTAGAAGTTCATTATTTTGATTGAAAGCATGTAAAATTATAATAATATTTTAATTTTGCTCTAACAATATCATAATTAATATCATAATAGTTCACAATTAATATCAATATCATAGCAGTGGATAAAATATAATTCATATCTCTTCCCTTTTTCACTTGAAATGAGTGTTAAATTATTCCATTATTAAAAAATATCATAGCATCTCTGACATTTACCAGCAAAATAAATTTATAAAAAATATTTTGCATATACTGAGGAAGGGAGTAAATATTTATCCTACCACTCCTGGCATTCCGTTATGGAAACTAATCCGCCAAACAAAAGCTTCTATATATTCCTTCATTCTCCTCCCCTCTCAATGTCGGTTCAAGCACTTGGCATGTGGAAGACTGAACGGATGATTATCCTCGACACCAACATGACAGTCAACCATTTGACTCTATGTATCCCTTCCATGGTGCTTTTATTCTCAGTTTACCATATGCACAAAATCTTCTCTCAATACGTATTGTTTCGCCAACTTTATTGGCCTCTTTAACTTTTTTTTTTTCTCCCTTGGAGGGAGAGAAAAAAGTGACCAGTCACCAGCGTATACGCGTAGTTTCATTGAGTCTAATCTTAAAGCGGGTGGGGAAAAAAAATTGATTACTATTGTGTGTAGGGCAGGTCGGTAATGTTATAAGTTTAATTTGCAAAATACAAATCTAGCATGAAAGTATTAAATTAAGATGTCTTAAAGTTTAAATTGAATCATAGAAATCCAAGATTTGAAAAACAGAATGTAAATTTTACTAAATTTTAATTGCAAATATAAAATTAAATCTTCTTTAATCCCCATATTCGTCATCCAAAGACAAGGTACTCAACCTTTCAAAAGCACTGAAACAGTATGAGCTTTTTGGTAGAAAGTATGAGGTTAACTAACCTGATATAGTTTCGGGACCCAAAAAAAAAATGATAAAGTCAAGCAAAAGAAAGAAAGAAAAGTCTTGTAGACTGGTTCCTCCTTGGCCCTCCTTTGGTCAGGGTTTTAAACTCTAGTCCCAAAGTGCTTTTTTTTTTTTTTATTTTCCCAATTGTCTGGACTCAATAAGAGGAGGCTCTCCTGGGTGAATAATACTCCCATGGTACTTGTATCTCAGATACAAAAAATGAAAAATTATATTTAAGTCTTATATAAAAAAGATATTATTAAAAAAATTTATAAAATACTCTCAAGTTTTAAGTTTTTCATATTTACAACTTATCTTTATAAATTATTTTTTTATAAGTTGTAAATAATTGTTATTCAATTGTCAATACCTTTAATTAAGTTGTAAATGGGTAAAATTTAAAATTTGAAATATTTTGTTAACTTGATAAGATCTCTTGATAATAAATTTTTTCTTGTGGAATTTAAATGTAATTTTTCTTACAAAAAAAGTGCACCAACATTATCAAAATGTCCATTTAATTTCCACTTTTTTCTATCTTTTTTTTGTTGGATACAAAAGAGGGCAAGCCCGACGGAAATTAAATAGGATGGGATTGTGATCCCAAGTGCTCAGCATCTACAATGTCACTTTTTTCTATCTCATGTCCATTATACCCGCCCTAACCTGTGTCGATGAGTGCTCTCATCAACTTTATAGGTCGCTGGTCAAAAAATTAACTTTAACAGATCTCACTCTACATCCTATCAATCAATGGGCTAAGCTCACTCTGTCTCCAACCTCCCCGCAGGCCACAGTAAGGATCCACCGAAATTCAAACACCATAGCTATATTTTGGACCAAATAAAAAAAACACGGTTTAATTATGAAAACAAAGATGGACACAAATCCTCCCACAAGGGTCACGATGTTTCAAATTCTTACTACGGGTACGAATTATACGGAATGAAAGAAATAAACAATTATATGAAAATATGTATTTTTCCATCACCATCTTATTAAGGTGGTATTTACTAATCACGATGTTTAAGATAAATCACAGGCGCA